AATTATAATAATGTTGTCATTTACTTTAAATATTACATGTGTGAGTAATTCACGAAGTTAGTGGAATGAGTATTGTAATATTTGTTTAGTCATTCTTAGTAAAGGATAAATCATAATTTATAAGTTATATTTCGTGACCATTTTCCACTTCAAATGACAATATATTCTTGTTCTAAAATTATTTATATTTTTTCACTATATTGAACAATAATTTTAAGTTATTTCGTTACAAATTTTTGATAGTTATTATAAATTCGATAATCTATATCATCAAAGTGTTCTTTTTTTTATTCTTATTAAAAATATTCAGTTTTCACTGATAAATAAACCTACACCTGGGTCACAAGTCCCAGTCACTGTTGAAGCTCCTCTCTACAACGATGGACCCGACACACGCACCGTGAATACATGGAATGATGAGAAGTTTAATCTCTATATCGAGAGTAATAAAATACATAAAAACGTGTTCTTTGTTATACATAAAGTATTATTTCTTACTAATTCGTCATAATTAATACTATTTTAAAGTACTGTAATACATTTTATTCCTAAGTCTCATTTTCATTTTGCGCGTTCGTAACTTCCTTCGTTTGATTGCATATTATTATACAATTCAACAAAACCAACTGTGTTAGATAATACATATAAAAAGTGTTGTGTAACGTCTGTCTGTGTGTACACATTAAAGTTTCTTATATCTCATAAACTGTTATATTCATCGTAATTTTGATTATGTTTTACGTATTCTTCTTCCTGGCAATTTTCTTAAATATTGTGAATAGTTTTGGCTAATTGTTTTTACGACGTTGCCTGCCTGACATCGACCCTCTTTGGGAATGCATTAATCAGTGATATCTATACTCTTAGAAAGTACATATGACTCAGAAAAATCATTTCGGTACTTGCCAGGATCGAACCCGCGCCCTCGTGAATGAGAGGCGGGTCTTTTTACCTCTAAGATACAACTGATTTATGTTTTACGTATTCATAATAATATTTATATTGATTTACGTACGTTTTAACTTAAAAACCAATCGTGAAATATCGGAAAACGAACGATCTGATGGTATAAAAATCGTACTAAGTTCTCGTATATTTTACTTTGAACTGTAGCTAAATTATATGTATTTAGTTTATCTTTTAATTTATTTTTAAGTAGGTCGCATAGATTTTGCAAAATTTTTAATTAAAATGCAGTTTTCGTGTATATTATTGAATTATTTAGAAAGTTCTATCATTCGTTGTATTCTGTCGTAATAAAACATCAATATTATTATTATTAGTATTATAATGTAATCCTTCCGTTTGTTACAATAACGCCGGTTACTACATCGGATGTTCAGTATTAGAAACTAGTTAATATGACGCTTTGATTTCGTTTTAAGTTAACTTAAATTTTTGTTTTACTGTTAAAATTATTAAAAAATCACTACCAGCTTCAAAATTTCAATGTTAGATCAAATAATTTACATGTTTTTTTGATGCTGTCTCCATTTGCTTTGAAGTCGTGGAATATTTTTCCAATGCCAACGTTTTTATTTGTTAAATATTTATTAATATTTTTACTAAGAAGTAAGCAGTGACATTGTATGTTTTTCTTGACAAAAGGCAACGAGCAGACCCATTCATCCAATAAATTATATAAAAGATTTATTAAAATAAAAAAGTCTTTATTATACAAATAAAAGAAAAAAATTAAAAGCAATTTTCAATGTAACATATAAGTCATTATTAATTAATGAAATTATGAAATTTTCTGAACGTTTTGTTCAATTTTAGAAGTTGTATTGAGCGATATTTTATAGAATTCTTACAAATGTATATTTGTATTTTCACTACCAGTTACTTTATCAATTAATGCGCCTCACCTAGCTCCTTGGTTTTTTTTAAATATTATCTTGTACATAATTTATCCAAAGTTAATAAACGAATTACAATCCTGTTTGTTACAAGTTTTAGTATCAGAGGAATTAGCTGTCTCAACAACATATTTTACTTATATATTAAGGCTTTTAGGGATTTTCTGTATTGGTAGGTCGTATTAAATATGGCTCTCATCCGTGCAAAGACGTGCAGAGTATGCAATATATCCGGGATTAAATTAGGAATGTAATATTTATCAGCCTCGACCGTAGTAATAATTAGGAACTTAAGATCTAAAACACAGAAACTCAATAAGATTCGAACGTAGGAGACAAATATATTTACTGTATTTATAACATAATCAAACAAAGACAAATAATTCTACGTCAAGTTTCATTATTTTTCGTAGTACATATGTTAAAAATTATAGTACCTGACTCAGCCATGTTTTCTTGTAAACAGAAAATAGAGTTATAAATTAATAACGAATATGCAATTAATATTGAATTTCTTTGTGTCAACTTATAATTTATATTTTTAATCACATAAAAATTATAATTTATAACAGTGTTAGGTGTGTCGTAATTTATAAATGATTAATGGCTTTTAAATTCTATATGAAGTTACTATTTAAGTTTATTATGTTTTTTTATTATTTTAACTAAATAATCCTGACGTATCGGTTACTTTACAGCAACCGTGATCATTAAGACGCGATGTATAGTCTACACTATGTAGTATTCGAAAAAGTAGGTTTAACTTACAATTTAATTTAACTATTCCATTAAAACAAACATACATACGTGTTCTTTTGTAATATAATAGTTTTATTATAACAAATAACCGTAATTAAATGTGTATCAATCATTGCTATACAAGTCGTCCTTTGTTTCATTTCATTATAAAAACTCCATAACAATAGAATTATTTTTTTTTTCTATCAATAATGACGATTCTATAATCTTATTAACGTCCCTCACTAGTTGTGTTTGTTGTATACTAGTTTTTGCCCGCGACTTCGTCCGCGTTAACTTCGGAATCCCTATTAATATTATAAATGCGAAAGTAACTCTGTCTGTCTGTTACGCTTTCACGCCTAAACCACTAAACTGATTTTAATGAAATTTGGTACAGATATAGAGTTGACCTCGAGAAAGAACATAGGATAGTTTTTATCCCAGACTTTTGAAAGGTTCTCTTGGAAACGCGAAATAACCGAACTAGACGCGGGCGAAGCTGCGGGCGGAAAGCTAGTTAGTAATATATGTATAACTGACCAGACGAAAACTATTCTGCCATAAAAAACTAGATATTGGAAGTTTATTAAGTTTTATTTTATGTTTCGATAGAACAGTATAAAATATACTATGTCCGTCTCCTGGTTCTAATCTATCTCTCCGCCAATTTTCAACCAAATCCCTACAGCCGTTCTTGAGTTATAAATAGTGTAACTAACACAACTTTCTTTTATATATCAAGATAATATTATTTGATTCAGCAGACCGTTATATAGCTTTACACTTAATATGAGTTTTCATTGTTTTACTACACCGATAGTTTAGAGTTTTTTATATTTACTTTTCACTGTTTTAACTAAAACATATAATCTCTTTAGTTTATATATCAAGCGTATTTCGTTTGAGATTTTATATTATCTACTTATATGTAGTGCCGAAACTTCTCATCATTCCATATATTCACGGTGCGTGTGTCGGGTCCATCGTTGTAGACAGGAGCTTCAACAGTGACTGTGACTTGTGACCCAGGTGTAGGTTTAAGGGACCCTATCTAACGTTAAACGTTCACCTCCACTATCCAAGCTCCTCTCTCTACCAAATTTGAAAAGAACCTACTAGGGCTGCATTTTAAGTACGTTCTAAGAATGAATTAATGTCAGTTATAATGTATGAAGATATATTTATTAATACGTGTAAACGTACAGTTTGTAGTGTGATACTAGGAACTTGTAGTAAACGTAATGGTAACTAAGTATTTAATAATATCGCCTCATATTATTTTTCTTTGAAGATAAATTTCTATTTGTTTAATATGATTAATTTTTAAAAGATATCTTTAATTAAATATGAAAACAATTCGAATATTCAATTTAATAATAACAATATCATATATTTTGATTTGACTAAAATAAATATTAAATAAGGAATCTTTATATAATTAAAATTTAATGTTAATCGTTTTATTAAAAATGAATTATTTTTAATCTTAAAACGATAATTTTCTTAATAATGAGATGTTCCTTTTAGTTGGTTGGAGTTTATCTGAAACAAAAATATCTAGGGAGTCTTAATTTTGTACAAAGTTAAAAATCTTTTAAAATATTACTTTTTAATCAACAAACAATGAAAAAATATTCCAAAAGTAATAATAATTTAGGCGTAAAGACAGAGTTGTTATTAAAAGTGATCTCATGGTGACCCTTAAGTAATGAAATTTAAATATTGTAAAGGCTCTGTATATAAAAATAACCAAAAATAACTGTAAGAATGAATATTTTAAAATAATAAACAATGAAATGTTTTCCAAAATTTCATCTACGGGCATTATTTCATTCATGAAAAGTAAAAAATGGTTCAGAACTTTTAACGATTCATAATGAGATCTAAGATTTTCGCGAGTATTCATTTAAATGAAACTAATATTTTCGGATTTACTACGCGGATTTATTTTTGACTATAAACTACATACTCCCGAAGTTTCGGTTACTTTACAGCAACCGTGATCACGGACAGACGAGATGAAATTTTTTGTTTCATTTAATTTTAATGATTCGTCTTGTTTCAATTCAAATTCGCTTGAATCCATAATTCAACTTATAGAAGTAGGTAATGTTTACTTTTTGTGTTATTTTAAATAAAATTCCATACTTATTGGCCTTCGAATTCTAACAGATCTTATTTACTTGTCTCATTATTTTCGCTCTCAGTCTTCTTATATACCTAAGACATACGTTTTTATAAACCCATCGCGTACTAACTACATAATGTAAATAGCTATTGTTTGTTCATGTCGCGTGAGCAGAATATATGCTTGTTGTTTGAACACGATCAATATATTCATGATTTCATTTAAACTAAGCTTTTAATTTTATAATTTTTCCATTCATTATTTCAGGTATAATGGCGGAAAAAGATTACAAGACTGACAAAGTCAGGAGAATGTTCAGTTGGACTACGGGGTAAGTTGATAATCAGTGGAGAGGCGTAATATTTTAATTATATTACTTTAAATAAATATTGACAACCGTGATGTAATCGTTATGAGATGACCCAATGACGCAAGAGCTACTTTCGCGTCCAGGTGGGGAGCTTGATCGGTGAGCCTAGTAACCTAGATGAGGTGATATATACAAGCGATTATCACTCTTAGAGGTGTCAGTTTCTAAAATAGTTACATCAGCGCCATCTATTAGAAAAACTTATATAAAACAGCGCCATCTCTTGGATCAATATAAAAATTTGATGAATCCGCGAATTATAGTAACGAAAACCATCACTAGATGGCGGTAGTTGACACAATGGCCCTCAGCTGGCAATTTACAAAGATTTCGCAATACAACCTTTTGGCGAACTTTTCATTGAGTTTCTTTTAAATTTATTCACGTGTAGGCATTTAAGATTCGTTTCTTGGAACCTTCGTGATATTATTGAGACTAAAATAACTCAAAATGGAATAACATATCGTTACATCGATTAATAATGTTTTAAATATGTCTGCTGTATGTTGTTTTAATTTTATGATCGGAGTTATAATTGAGTTGAATATATTATATATTTAATTATAATTTTTATTGATATGCGAGTTGTTAACATGCCTGGTTTTAAACTGCTTTAAGACAAAGAGTATTGTATATATTTATAATCCAATGTTATTTTAAATTACTCCTCTATAATTTTCAATCAAAATAAAACAAAAACTGTCATCGAGATTTATATCTTTTTTATGAAATTTATTAAAGTTTCGCAATTTTGAATTCACACAGGCAAATTAAAATTAAAAGTAAAAAAAAATACATGTATGTATGAAACAAAATGTATGTATTGAAAAACAAATATTGTTATTCACTAACTAACATTTGAATTGAAAAAATTGAAACTTATTTATCAATATTCAGATATAACTAATTGGCAGTAAAGATTGTTTGTTTAATTCTTTATTTCTCATTAAAACATATTATTATTTCTAATATATGTCATCTTTATGGTCACCCATAGATTATTGACATATGACAATGTGACAAAACGATTTATTTTCAAAAGTATTTGACACAATAGTGTGACTAATAATAAGAATATGTAGATATTAATAAAAACCTTTGTGATTATATGTGAATATAAATTAGAAAGAAACAATATGTACATTTATTATTGTTTGCATAAGTAGTTATGTTTTCAGTTTTTATATACGGAGCAATCAGTCAATTTTGACAGTTTCAAATAGGTACCTAATACAAAGTACAGAAAACAAATTCAAATTATTCAAATACATCGTTTTGCAGTTTCCAATATTTTACTAGAAATTCAATTAATATTATTATGTCCTATAAAGAAGAATATTTCGATCTCTAGATACGTAAGTATCACAAAATGTATTCACGCTTATATTTTTTATGCAAAACGTTCAGAAATGTAGTAAAAAACGAAACAGTATTAAAATAAGTTACAATACAATAATTTTTAAGTTTATAATATTGAATACAGATAATATAGATATTTTAAATAGTATTGAATGAATACAATTACTAGACAAAAACTTCAATATGAAAGGTAAATACTACTTTTGTTAAAACGATATTCTTTTAAGAAGTCTTTTATAATAAATTTTAAAGGTTACGCTTTTGTCTTCTTTTTTGTTGAATATTATGAGTTTGTTTGATGATATTACAAGGATTTTTTATGAAAATTATATGTTTAATTTTAATCGGGATACTTTAATATTTTCTACCTGTTAATTTCCCAGCTTTAGCCAGGGTCTGCCTGGATACTTTTATAACTCTGCTATATAATTCCAGCAGGCGTTTTGTACCAGTAATTTTCGACGGCATGACTTATGAGAATTCATCAAAATTATGTAATCATACATTTTAGTTTCGCAATTAGAAAGTGTACACGCGTTTATGAATAAATCAAATTATAATAATTATATCATTTGTAATGAATCTTTACAATCTTTACGGACCTCCATTTATTATTTTCTACTCACTAAATGTACGAGGTTATAATTTCTTTTAATATAATGTGTTTTTTTAGTTATGGCTTCATTCTATAATTATAGAATATTCTGCAAATGTCAACGTCTTTATTTGTTTGACGAATTATAATCTTGACTGTGTGGAGAATATAAGGAGTTTGTAGAATGGAATAAAGACGTTTATTTAATTATTATTATTATTATTATTTTGAGAAGAGTCTAGTTATATTATTACCAGCATTGAGAAGAACTAAAAATATATAAATAGTAATCCAAATATGTCAGTAAGTATATAATAAATATTAAATAGTTAAGGGAACTACTGAAGATTTCATCATCAGTCTATCAGAGCACACTGCTGAGCAAAGGCCCGTTCTCACATGGAGAAGGTTTGAGCATTAACCACTCGCTCAAGACGGGTTGGTGATTTCAAACTTATAATTTGATATAAGTCCAAGTTTCCTCACGATGTTTTCCTTCATCTGTCAGTGGTGTTTAAATACTCTTATAAAGTACATATGACTTGGAGAAATCACATTGGTACTTGCCAGGTTTCGAACCCGCGCCCTCATGCACGAGAGGCGGATCTTTGACCACTAGGTTATCGCTACTGAAATTTTCGTTATTTGATTCAATGAATTTACACATAAACAGTGAAGAGGACTTTAAACCAAACTTAATAAAATACTCAGCGCTTAGTAAAAGGAAAATATTATTAGGAAGGACTTTATATAAAAAATTAGTTGTTTTTTGATAATGTGAGGTATCATCTGTTCATTGGTCTATATTTTTTTGACAACTAACGTCTATGTATTTTCGTTTTTAGTTTAAAAAAAAAATGAACTGCATTAATATCGTACTTTATTGACGGGTAAAGCCTACTTAGTGAAGTGCTCTATGCATAACAAACAACCACAGACTATAAAACAGGTCTTGGAATAAGATAAAACGACTTAGTAAATTTAGTTTAAAAATCAAAATGATATCTATGATTTTGTTTAATTATTTGAAAGGAAATAAATGGAAATCATGGAAAAAATGTAGCTAGGTCATAAGATATACAAACGAAACAAGTAAAATTATTAATATTACTTTACTGTTTTACTATGAGTTTTCTTAATTATTTACAAAAACTCACTCATTAAGTCCTTTATCACATAATTAATCATTTTTTCTTCAATTATTTTGTCATTTTCGACGTCTCGATTCCAATCTAATTATAATATTCTTGTTCTATGTACGATACTTAGACATAGTGACATGACGTGACTTCTTGACAACAACTGTCACTTCTTCATCCCTTCAAAACTGTATGGAATTCAGGAATAAACTATATTTGTTATTTTAATGTTTGAACTATATTGTGGTAAAGATTTTAATCAATTTATTGGTTATCAAGTCCGTAGAATAAGTACTAGTATGTCGATGCGATGTGTATTAGGATTATTGAAAGTAATTAGTATTTATGTTCTAATTATACAGGGTGACTGGTGAATTACTATCAATATTTAAGGAGCATACTCGGTACATGATTCTCATTCGAATTATGTAAAAAAAATAGGTACTTAATTTTTGACCAAATTTCCGTATAAATAAATAAAGTGTGGACACGTTCCAAGTCTTCCAAGTGTGGACGCGTGCGTCGGCGTGCTGATACAACACTACGCCGCCGCCGCGTCTGTGTGACTGTGTGTGTATACCTAGTCTGTAGGGTGTTCATACGATGCGTAATTAATTACACAACTTTTGGTTAACTTTACTTAGAAGTTTATTAATATTTATGTTATATTAATTTTTATTTCGTCATATATGATCGTCAAATATCACGTCCTCAAATATCGATAGTAATTCACCAGTCACCCTGTATAGGATTTTAACTTGAGGTTCCAGGAAAACTACGAAACTTACTTATATGTATATTATAATAAGAATTACATATTAAAACTTATAACATATACCTAAGACTACATGATTGCTATCCTAACATCGGAGCAATCATCCCTACTAATATAAGTGCGAAAGTAACTCTGTCTGTCTGTTTGTTACGCTTTTACGCCTAAACCACTGAACTGATTTTAATGAAATTTGGTGCAGAGATAGAGTTGACATTGAGAAAGAACATAGAATAGTTTTTATCCCAGACTTTTGAAAGGTTCTCTTGGAAACACGATATAAACGAACTCCACGCGGGCGAAGCTGCGGGCGGAAAGCTAGTGTAGTATAAAAAAAGCAATAGTTATATCAATTATAATCGATTAATTAATATTTCCACGTCATTATTACCACAGAACGTTCTGTGTATAATAAATTAAAGAATTAAACGTAATTCTGTTTAATTTTATTACAGCCTGTTAATGAAACATCCTTAGTTATGGACTACGTCACACATTCAAAGTTCTTCGACCGCTTATAATTCGTTTTTAAGGCTCGAGTCACACTATACTGCTATAGAATCCAGTTAGTTAATATCCTTATATATGAAAAAGAGCTTTATAATAACTCATAATTAATTTCAAATTGCAAATTCAAATGAACGAATGAATATTAACAAAAAAGAATGAAGTAATATTTGAGCAAAAATTAATTAATTAATGTAATTATATATGTATTTAAGTTATATATAGTAGTCTCTTTAATAATAATGAGACATTATCTCCAAGTAGAAGTCTGTAGCAGATGAACTAGGACTAGCTATAATAATGAGATCTAAGATTTTCGCGAGTAATTCATTGTTGCAAAATAATACAAATGCCGGGAGTATGCAGTTTTAAAAAGACGAAACCTCTCATCATTCAATGTATTCACGGTGCGTGTGTCGGGTCCATCGTTGTAGTGAGAGGAGCTTCAACAGTGACTGGGACTTGTGACCCAGGTGTAGGTTTAAGGGACCCTATCTAACGTTAAACGCTCACCTCCACCGTCCAAGCTTCATTCTCTACCTTTGAAAATAACCTACTAGGACTGCCTTCAAAGTACGTTCCAGAATTA